GGTGGACAGGCTGGGCTGGCAAAGACCCTCACATCCTCTGCTGAAAAGAGGACACAATTGTGATCCAGCCCTGGGACTCTGCTGTGTGTAACTCTGCTCTGACCAGTTTCTGAGCCGCCCCTCACATTGCTATTAATACCTCAGGGTCCAACTCCTGAAGTGCCTGGGGCCAGCCTAGCGGACAGGGATGCCCATTTCACCTTTCTTTTCACTCCGTCTCAGCGACAGCCTAGCCAGTTTCTGCTAGTCCCACCTTTTCCGAGCTCTGACAGAGATGGGTCAACCCGCCCATAAAGGCTGCTCCCAGGACAGGCTGACCCCTCGGAAAGGCCTGCTCCCAGCCACCGAACTGGGCGTGAGTGCTGACTCCCTCCTGAAGTCTAAAGGCCCGCGCTGTCCCAGAGGGACGAAAGCCATCGGAGGCAGCACTCAGCCCATCGGAGCAGGTGTGGTCAGACCCCAACTGTGGGCTCCCTTCAGGCCTCTGTGCGGTGTCACCCACCAACAGTCGAGCCAGAGCTGCCCCAGGAGTGCCTGCCTCAGCCACGGGGGTCACAGTGAGCACCAGGGCAGTACTCTGAGCCTGATTCCTCATCTGTACAAATGGGGATCATAACATTGACCTTTTGGTGTTTTGAGGATTCAATGAACTAACAGGTGGAGAAAGATCCTAGCCATACTACGCTGGCACATGCCAAATACTTCATAGAATTGTTTTCAGCTGCTGACACCCCATCTCACAAAACCAAGTATTTTCACACTTCCATCCACCCCTGGAAAAGCAACCCATTACTTGAAGCATACTGCTTCTCCTGAGGGGAAACTCTGGAGGTCAACAGCAGAACCCCTAGCCGGGGTCACCCCTAATGCTGATGAGATTCTGGTCTGTGCTCCCCCCTCTCATGCCCCCTATAGCACCGTGATGGGCTGGGCAACATGGGAAGACCACCTGACCCTCCCTTCTCTGGGTGTCTCCCCGCTGACCATGCCACTGCCACGATCTCTTCTGGCTTCCTCCAGGTGCCCCAGAGGCATGGGGGATGCTAAACCAGCTTTTCAGGACATAAGCCCTGTTTTCTGTCAGACAGCACTATGGTCCCTTCACCTCCTCCCACTCCCCTGCCCCTTGGTCCAGGCAGGTTCTGCAGCCTAGACTAGGCTATTGGAACGCCTCCACATTCCCTCTTTGCTTTTAGGCAGAGGGCCAGCCTTGGGCCTTCTGATCAAGGCCAGAGTGGCAGCAGCCTGGCGGCAGGGCTGTTGGTTGTAACTCCTCCCAGGCTTTTCCAATGTGCTCTAGTTAAAGGAACGAGTTCCTGGAGAAACCCCCCAACCTGCATCCCAGTGGGCACTCCTATTCCATGGAGCAGGATAGAAGCCCCTGCCGGCCATCCCCCACACAGCTGGCCCTGCCCCCAGGGCACTTCACTACCCTGGGCATGCGCACATGCGCGCACACACACACGCTCACACACACACACACACACACACTGGATGGGAGGAGGAGCAGGGCCAGAGGAGCGGGCACAGAAGGTCCCCAGAGCATCTTTATCTGACAGGCCCGTAAGCATCCTTCCTACTGGACCTTCAGGACTTGACCTGGTCATCCTCCCGTTTGCTACCAACGCCGTGGAGGCTGGGTGGGTGCCCTGGAGGCATCTGCTCCCCAGGCACCCCACCTGCCATGCAGGAAGCCATTTGGGAACATCTCTTGGAGGTGAGGCCCCTGCCTCTGGCCTGGCTCTCCTGGAGGCCCAGGGCTGAGGGACACTTCTGAGGTAACAGCAGCCTTGGAGTGCAGGAGGCGCCTCCAGTGACAACACCTGCTCGTTAATCCCAGGCTTTCTCTCTGGAGCCTGCCCTGGCTTGGATGGTAGGAGGTGAAGGCAAGCAGAATCTGTTCCTCCCTTCCTGGCCCTGAGGTGCGAGGTGTTGACGAGTGTAGGCAGGTGAAGACAGGCCCACTCAGCCGTCAGAAAACCTGTGTAAGGCACCCTCTATCCATGCAGCACAAGAAGGTGGGAAGTGTGTAGAAGAATCTAAAGATCTAGAAAAATCTGGCAGTGAACGGGAATTTTTCCCATATGCTAGAACCCTAGACTTTGTTTCTGAAACTTCATTCTTTGGGAAAACCTATGAAGCATTAGTTCAGGAAAATTTTAGGACTTCATTGTTACATGGCCTTTCTAAACATATCTCCAGATGATTCTTTTAAAATCATGCAGTAAGATATCGTTGATGTGGGCAATCATTCCAGCTGAACCTGACTCACCAAAATGGTGCAGATGAGGCAAGCTGTTTTTGAGGCTGTAAGTATATATCCATTTTCAAAAACAAAAGAGCTTCAAGTGAAAGACTTTATTAAGAAACTACAGGCCCGGTGCACAAAAATTTGTGCACTGGGAGGGTGTCCCTCAGCCCAGCCTGCCCCCTCTCACAGTCCGGGAGTCCTCAGAGATGTCCTACTGATGGCTTAGGCCACAGTCTGGCCTCCCTCTGCGGGAGGTGACCCCATTGCCCCACTGCCGGCCGCTGTGGCTGCCGGTTCTCCTTGGCCCTCGCAGCTGCTGAGGCTTTGTCCAGAAAGATGTCCGGTCTATCTGGTCTAATTAGCATATTACCCTTTTATTAGTATAGATTGTTGCCCTAGCTGGTTTTGCTCAGTGGATAGAACATCAGCCTGTGGATCAAAGGGTCCCAGTTTCAATTCCAGTCAAGGGCACGTACCTCAATGTGTTTCTCTCACATGGATGTTTCTCTCTGTCTTTCCCTCTCTCTTCCACTCTCTCTAAAAATCAATGGAGAAATACCCTTGGATTAAGAAATAAAAATAAGAAAGAAAAAAAGGAAGAAAGAAATTATAAGGACATCATCGTGGCTGATTTGCATTGCTGCAACCTAGGGAGCCAAGATTCAAAGGCAGAAATGCCTGTGGTGACATCGCCACTGCTGCCTTGACTAAATTACAGATAACCACACTTGGGGCTTGAGGTAGAATGGACCTGCGGGACAGCAAAGGGAACCACAGGCCTGCAGGAGGGAAAACCACGTTCCAGTCCTGACTCTGCCTCCAATTTCCAATGTGGCTTTGCTGAGTCACCTAATCTTTAGACTGCAGTTTTCTCACCTGGAAAGAGGGGTGGGGCTGATAATCCTAGAATTCCTCTCAGCTCCATAATTCACCACAGTTCAAGTAGGGGTGGCCAGAGCACAGAACCTCTTCAGATGTTCATTCAGTCATTCATTCATTCAACAAAGATGCTCATTTGCATGAGCATCTCCTATGTGCCAAGCACCATGCTGGGATTCCTGCCCTAGAGCGCTCACAGCCTACTGGGATGAGCAGAGAGGTGAGTCCACTGGGATAAAGAAGGGCACAGGGCACACCACTGGCCCAGGAGCAACAGGCAGTCAAGCTTCACACCTTCTCCAAAGGCTGGCAGATCACACAATCCCCTTTCTACAACCTGTGAAAGAAGTGGATGTCAGTTTGCAGATATTTTCACCAAATCAATAAGTCATGCAACATTATAGAGCAGAGAAATGAGACTGTGCAGGCCATCAGTTTTCAGAAGTCCCTTGCCGCGACCTGCATGGCTGGGTTCAGGAACTGAAGGAGGGGCCGATACACAAATGAAAATGCTATACAAGAAATATGAATTTAGAAGGCATGGGGGGCCAGGTGGAGCCTCTTTCTTGAAGAGACACACCAACTTCTGGCCTGGTGTACTATTTATTTGCTTGAATACACATTTGCCCTTTAGCAAGGCATACAGGCATATCAAAGGTAAAGTCTGGTAAACAGTAAAAGGATTATCAGGTTAGGAAATTGCCTTGAGCCACCGCTTTCTCAACACGAACAATCCGTCCTTAGCATCAGCCCTGCTAATGCCCAAGGTCCATCGGCCTTCCGCGTTCCTTGGTGACAGTATTGGCAAGCAATGGCTTCCCGCAGTCCATGAAGACAACACAAGAATCAACAATTAGCCCTGACCGGTTTGGCTCAGTAGATAGAGCGTGGGCCTGCAGACTGAAGGTCCCAGGTTCGATTCCGGTCAAGGGCATGTACCTTGGTTGTGGGCAAATCCCCAGTAGGGGGCGTGGAGGAGGCAGCTGATCAATGTTTCTAACTCTCTATCCCTCTCCCTTCCTCTCTGTGAAAAATCAATAAAATATATTTTTTTAAAAAAAGAATCAACAATTACAGACTATGACACTTAGAAATTTAAAATTATTAGAAAAAGTGCCAAAGATGCTATGGTGACCTTTGGCTGGTTTGGGGCCTCCATCACCCTTTCCTTTAGAAACAGCACCCTAATCTTCACCACATCGTGTCTGGTGACAGAAGCACTGTGCCCAGGCTACCCCACCACCACCAAAGGTGGATACATGACCTGAGGCGGCCAACCAGAGGTACCCTGCTCTGGACTAGGTGTGGAGGTGCACTAGGTGGAGTGTGTGGTGGGAGCACTTCTGTCCAGGTCAGTCCTGATGCCTAGAGACCTTGGGGCTGCCCTGGCTTCTGTCCTAACTTGATGCTCCAGACTTCTCATCAGTGCTGGGAATTAGTTACCTGATGGCTATAAAAAAAAAATTCTTTCTTGCTCGAAATGGAGTTAAGGTGGGTTCCATGGCTGGTAGTTGGAGGACCTGACTAATTGAAGTTTTTATGATTAATGCCATGTGCTCCAATACTGTGCAGTTCAATCAAATTGTGTATGTGTTCAGCTTGAGACCTTTGCACAGGAAGTGACTGAGGTCCCGGTTTTGGAAGATTAATCTGCCACCAGTTGGTAGGTGGATAAGAATAAGTAATGAGCAACACAGTCATGACAGCTAAGAAGAAAATTCATGTTTATTGAGCTCCTGTGCCAGGAGCTTTGTTCACTTAATTCCCACAATCCTGGAAGCTGGGCAAAATCACCCCCATTTTGTGGATAAGGAAATTGAGTTTAGTTGGTTAAATAACATGCCGAGGTCACTTGGTTGATGAGCAGAGCTGGGACTTGAAGTCAGGAGAGCGAAAACTCATAGCCTGGGCTTTTAACCAAATGCCACGTTGCTTTACTCTGGAAGAAAATGGATGAGTTTCCAATATAATATGAGCAGCCTAATGCCACCTCGGAAATAAGGGCCAGGTTCCCACCTGTCAGCAACAGTGGGCCCTGGGAGCAGGAGCTGGCCGGTCAGGGGCCAGGGTGTTGGGCCCCGCCGTGAGCTTTTCAAAGCCACGGAGAGGACGGCGTTCCACCCGAGCGTGGTAAGTGTGGGGAGAGAGGGTTAGGGAGTCAGAACTGGAGCTTGGGCACCCACAGCTGGATTCTGGGAGAAGTAAAGGAGCCAGTGAAGGAGGCGGGAGGCTGGGAGAGAGAGGGCACCGCGGCAGGCTGGGCTCCACCTGGCGCGCTCAGGGCAGCTGACCGGTAGGTGCATGCGCAGAAGAGCTCACGATACTCACCTGCACACGCCCTGGTTTCTGGCGGGGGAGGGGGCATGATTCGTCCAGGGCGGTTGAGTGGCTGGTTTCACTGGTCCCTGCAAACCCAGGACGCCAGCGTTCACGCTGCCCAGCACTCCCTGTGTGCCACTCACAGCAAAACCAGCTGAGACCCGGCAAGGGAGCTCAGCCCAGCCGTGGTCAGGGCCAGCCAGGTCTGAATCTCGCAGCGCTGCGGGGGTGGGGAGCCTGGGAGGTCTGGCTGCGGGGCTGGGAGGCGCCCACTGATTCCGGCAGGCAGCTCTTCCTCTCCTCCCGCTCAGTGAAGGAAGGCAGGCGAAAAGGCTTTTATAAATAGCTCCAGCCCCAGCTGATTTGTAAATTCAGTGGGTTTGGTGTGGTTTTTTTTATGTCAATGACATCACTCTCCTCCCCATGGCAACACTCGACGATATCAAAATTGCCAAGCAACGTTGGAGCAGGTCGCTGCCTGAGGATTTAATGGAGAAATCCCAAAGTGAGCCGGGGCGCGCGGTGGAGGAGGGGCGCGCCGTGGCGGGGAAGGAAGCTGGGGCCCGCCGCCCGCGCCGCCGGCCCCGCAGCCCTGCGCCCGCGGGCGTTCCCGGGCCGCGCTCCCTCTCGTAGCGGTGGACAGCAGGTGGGGGAGGGCTGCTCCCCGCCTGCCGTGCCGGGAGCGGGAGCAGCCATCCAGGTGACTAAGCTGGCCCACTGGCACTGAGTCACCTGCGGGCCCGTGGGTTTCTTTCTTCTCCTTTGCATCTGATTATTTTGGGAGCTGGAAACTTGGAGCTGCATCTGAGTCCCGCCCCTTCCAGCCTCCCCTCCTTGCCTTGGGCTCCGAGGAAGATGGGACCTGCTGAGACTCTGCCACCCCTTCCTAAGGTTATAGAAGACGCGGTGGGGGCCGGAAGTGCCATGGGAGAGACGCCAGCCACCGAAGTGCAGTAGCCGATATGGTGATCCGGCTGCCTTGTCCTCCAGAGGTGCCGGGAGAGGAGGGGAGTCTGGTCCATGCCGACTGGATTCCTCCCGGGCTGGCTTTGAACTCACCTCCCACGAGATTTTTCTGTAAATGAGTGGCTTCTAGGGTCAGAGTGGCATTTGGAGAGCGAGGCTGGATTGGCTTAGGCCGACCTGGGCAGGTAGGTGGCTCTGTGCTGGGTGTGGCCCCACGTGGGAGAGAGTGTGTGTGGTCCCCGTGCTGAGGACAGCAGGGGGCCCACAGAGAGCCGAGGATGCGGGATTTGGCAGCAGCTCGTCCTAACTGATGCTGGGCCAGCCCCGGTCCTGAGACGGGTGTTGTGGAAAAGGGACACAAGCACCTGGCCTGAGCAGGGTGAGAGCAGCGCCCGCTCAGACAAGCCCAGGCCCTCTGAGTCCACAGCTCAGACACGGGGCAGAATGCCGAGGCAGGGAGCGGTCGGAGGGGCAGGCCAAGGATGGAAGCCAACCCGCCAGCCGGCCGGACAGCACATCGCTGCTCCCTCTTCCGACAGCCCTGGGCACGAAGGAGACAGCTTTCTACCCAGGAATGCTGTCACTCGCCCAGGCAGTGCCAGTCAGCATCTCTGTGTGTTCCCTGCCAAGCTCACGGGTGCGTTTCCTGAGAAGAGCGCCGGCCAGGGCACAGCTTCCCCATACTCAGGGCCCAGCCAGGGGCCACTGCGCAGCCTGGCCCCCACGAGGCATGCTCCGGTGCGTGTCAGGCCGAGGGGCGTGGGCCCCCCGCCTCCCCCACACAGCTGGCAGCCTCACGGGCACACCGGTGAGTAAGCTGCGGAGGGAGGAGGCTGTGTGCCCACAGAGGCAGGACGACACCAACCAGGAGCCTTTGGGAGAAGCGGCTGGGTGAGACAAGCACTGAGGTTTTCTTTTTCTTTTCTTTTTTTTCCCTTTTTGCCTGAAGGGAGTGGCGCTTCCTGGGCTAGAGACAAGCACCAGCCTGCAGTGGGGAGCTCCAGGCCCAGCTGCCCGGAGGAGCGGCACGGTAAGGTCCCGGCTACCTACATAGGCTCGGGCTTCCCAGGCAGGGGTGGGGATGTGGAGGTGTCCAGGCGACGTGCCATCTGGGACAGGGGCAGCAGCTGTGGGTTCCTGTGGGCCCCATCCTACCTGCCACTCCCTTTCCAGATGGATTTTGAAACATCCCAGTCCAAGCTGGCCTCTGGCTTCCCGGCTAGAGAGCGAAATGCTTATTTCTGCTGTTCCCACCTGTGCCTCCCCTCCTGCTGGGCCGAGCCAGTGCCACCAGGACACCCTCCAGGATGTCCTCTTACCCTACCGCCTCGAGGACGCTCCCCTCTTGTATTCATCCCACAGATATTTACGGAGCATCTTTGGGGCCCAAGCTCCAAGTCATGCCCTTATGCAGAGCCTAACCGGGCACAGATTCTGACCCTGACACGCAGTGGCAGGCCGGGTTCAGGGGGCCTGGCTGAGCAGTGAGGGCCTTGGGCTCTTCACTCCTGCTGCAGGCGCTAGCGTCCTGGTTTGCTCTAGGGTGTCAGGCCCAGTGAGCTTGGGGTGTTAAAGTGCCGGGGCCCAACCAAGAAGTGAGGCTAATATAGCCTGGTTTGTTCTTTCCCTGGTGTCACACACCAAGTCCGGGGGGGGGGGGGGGGCGAGGGCTGCTTGGGTTCTTTTCCTACACCAGGAACTGGGCTCTAAGAGTTGAAGATAAGCTCTGGGCTGCCGGGCCCTTGGGTCCCATGGAAGCTCATCGAGCTGGGAATCAGGCCTTTGGGCCAAGCAAGGGGTCCCTCTGCAGATCAGGAGGGCAAGCGGGGAACCCTAGTGCCTAGTCAGGAGTGGGTGAGCACCAGGAGCAAGGCTTCTGTTCTGGAAGCACTTGATTTGGGTGGGAAGCTGTGTGCCCCTGTGGGTAGCCACAAGGGGGGAGTGTGGGGGCTGCATGGGTCCCCAGGACAGACTGACTCTGTGCGCTGAGTTCCTGGGACGTGCCAGGCATAGGGAAGGTGCTGCAGGAGGGGCACATGAGCCCAGCATCAGGATGAACCCTGACATGTCCCCACCTGGCTCCAGGATGAGCAAGTCCTGCTCTCCCCGCTGCAAAAGGTGACTCCAAGCCTGGGAGTGGGGGGGTCTCTCATGTGTGCAGAGCTGAGCAGCAGCTGGTGCCCAGCTGGGTTCAGAGTGGCAGAGGCTGTGGAGTGCCCGACAAACAGCAGGCTCGCAGGGTGGCAGCTGATGGAGCCAGGAGGGAGCAGAAGGTAGAGGCCAGGTATGGGGGCAGGAGAGGGAAAGCCTGCCTGGAGTTTAAGATGGCGGAGGGAGGCCCTGGACACTGACTGTCTTATGCCTGCCCACCTCTGTGGGACAGCCAGCAGGGAGTGGGTGGAGACACTGAGAGACTGCATTCCTTACCCAAGGGGCCCAGAGACACCTGTCCTGGGTGCAGAGGCCTGAAGGCCTCGTGGGAAGCTGACCTGTGGCCTGAAGCAGGGCCCTTCTCACAGGATGCCCTCTACACCAGGAGTGGGAAGGCCCAGGCCTCAGGAGCCGTTTCTAAGGCTTGGGCAGTAGGAAGGGTGCTGACAACCCGCACCCACAGGCATTCCGCAGCTGCCCCTGTGAGGGCTTTGAGAAGAGAGTTCATGTCTGTGAACCGGCCTTGGTGGAAAGAAGTGGGCCACAGGCTGGAAGAGCATGGAAAGGTGAAAGCTTCAGAGGCAGGAAGAGCTCTCAGTCTCCTGGCCCCCGCTGGGCCTCCTGCCTGGGAGAGCAAGCTGACTGGAAGCCCCTCTTCCAAGCTTAGCCCTGGGGCCCATTAAGGGCTAAGGTGAGATGTGAAGGGTGTGACATGCAGGGGAATATGTCTTTTCTTGGCAAGATGAGTGCTCCAGGCAGCCCTTGGAGATGGCAGTTGGCACCTTGTTCTGGCTCACTTGCTTGTAGGCAGAGAACAGGGATTGCCTCCTAAGTACAAAACACTGGTGGCAGGAGCAGGGGGTGGGAGGAAGTGCCACGAAATGACCAGGACAGAGCCCTTGCCCTGGGGAGTGTACAGTCCTTCAGCAGAGGAGGGAAAGGAAAGCTGAGCATGGGGCCAACCCCACCCGAAACCAGCCGAGCTGCCGAGAGCCATGATCAGCAATGGGCGGGGGTGGGGGCTGCCCTTCTGTTCACTCTGGGTCCCCGATTCATCACGGTAATTGTTAGCCATTGAGTCCAGATAATTTATAAATTTAGACCAGTACCAGGAGACGGTTCTTAACATAGAACTTCATAAAGATGAATAAAAAAAGATTAGCCAAGAGTGAAAACACAAAGGAAGAAACAGCTTCTACTGTTATGGGCAGAAGACAGATTCTCAGAGAGATATATAGGAAAAGGCAGAATAGTGGATGGTTAACAGCAGGTGAGTGTCAGGCCCGGGGCTGCCTCTTCCTGCCTGGGTGACCTCAGATAAGTTACCTCATCTCACTAGGTCTCAATTTCCTTTCCTGTCCAAGGGAGATAATTATAGTGCCTATGAGTTAGGGCGGTTGAGAAGATTAAGTAAGGCTATATGCAAATACCCTTAGCAGCATGGCTGGCACGTAAGTGCTCAGCAAAGATAATGTTATCATTGATGACTATTAGTGTTAGAGGAACAAAGTGCCAGGAGGGAGAGACCACACTGGGGTCTTCAGGGGAATCAGAAAAGGCTTCATGGAGGAGGTGGCTTTGGAAGAACCCTTCCCTGAAGAAAAGCTAGTTTTCAGAATGCTGATAGATCCATGCCCAATATTGCTGGGAAGGAAAGCAATACCAGATCCATTCTTTTCCAAATAGCAAATTGTTTATCCACTGAAATTCTCTAAGGAATGATTTGAGCCTATTAAGAGTTTCCTTCTTTTGGGGGGTTCTAGAGTTTGAAGTCTTGAGAACTTGACGTGGACTGTATATAGTGAAGGAATCGAAATTTTAACTGTGGTCACACTCTTCTTTGGGCTTGCAATCTTGTCACAGGGTGGCCCTGATTCCTTGAAGAACTGCGTTCTAATGAGCCCCATCTAAAGCACACACTTGGAGGTGCTTCGTGCAGAAGGGCCAGCCTGGAGACCACAGAAATCTCCTCTACTACCATGACACGACTTAGAAATGCCCAAGAATCATAAGGCTCAGGCTCAAAGGGTTATTATTCTATGAATTTAAGAAAGGTAATCCCAGGTTCTGTTCACCTAGAACAAGGCAAACCCAGAACATGACAGACTTTCATATCCTGTGGGAATTAGCATACAAACAAACAAACAAAAAATGGGTTCCCTCATAACTACATGTGGCCTCATCAGCCCCAGCAAAGGGACACCCACACTGGCCAGCATCTATACTAATAAAAGAGGAATATACTAATTAGACCAGATAGACCGGGCATCTTCCAGACGTCCTTCTGGACATCCTTCTGGACAAAACGGCAGTGCTGCGAGGACTGAGGGCTGGCGGCGCGGGAGTGGGAGAGGCCACGGCGTGGGCCTGTCCAGCATCGAGGCCCCTTCCGCAGAGGCGGTGCAGCAGAGGGGGCTTCGCGGCCCCGGTCCCACTGCTGCCCCTTCTGCAGAGGCAGCCACAGAGGCAGCGGCGCGGTCCCGTCCTGGTGCCAGGCCTCCACAGAGGCTGGACGGGGTGCAACCTGCTGTGCCTCAACCTCTCACAGCCCCTCCCCCAGCTGGCCTGGCCCCAGATCGCCTCCCACCCACCAGTGGGCGGGGCCAGTGCTAAGAAGTGAGGGCTGAGGGCCAGCAGCCCCAGTGGCAGGCTGGGCTGAGGGACCCCCCACCCCCAGTGCATGAATTTTCATGCACCAGGCCTCTAGTTTTCTATAAAATCTCACTATGACAAATCAGGCAGTGCAAAGACCCAAGTCTTTATAGAAAGACAATGAGGACCTTTTTGTACACCTATGGGGGTACAAAACTGCCCCCTTGGAGTGCTGTGTCGTCGGCAAATGCCGGCATCTTCCTGCTTGGCTCTGGTTTGTCCAACCCTCAAAGTACTCAGGCCCCTGAGCCTCTGGCTAAGGGGGTGGGGCAGGGCTGTGATCTGCACACTCAGGCTGCCCCGGACCTGGAGTGGGGGCCTCTGGGTGCTCAGAAAAGAAAGTCCAGAAAGCTCAGGTCAGCTGCCACATGGTTCCGGTTTCTGGTCCCAGTGCAGCAGGTCCCCCCAAGGCAAATAGCAATGAACCAGTCACTGTGCTCACGGCCCCCTGCCGCCTGCCTGTGTGCCCCGCTCCTGAAGGCTGCAGCAGCGGCAGGGTTAAAACCGGAAGGACTGGTTCTCTGGTTCAGCTTCCTGGCCTAGAGCCTCCAGCCTCCATTTTCTTTCTTTCAGCTTCAAATGAGGCTTCAAGTGGAATTAAGCAAAAAGGCACAGAGGGTGTAGGGAGCCAGGGACCCGTTATGCCACAGCCTCCCTGACCGTCAAGAGCACAGTCCCAGGGCAGTGGGTAGAAGCACAGAGGTGGAAAGGGCTGCTCCAGAAAGGAGCTGGCCTTGGATGGCCGTAGCACATGCAGGCCAAAGGAAGTCCCCAAGAATGTTTAATCCGGCCCCCAAACTGTTAGAGGAAAGAAGAGCCCCAGAGAAGGACAGTGGGTCCTGGGAGCGTACAGCTGGCTGCAGCAGGGCCAGCGTCAGGCCTGGGGTCTCCGGTCCCAGTCCAGTACTCTCACCACCCAGACTGCCTTTCCATAGGCAGCAGCATCAAAGGCACCCCGAGGAGGGACAGACACTTGATGGCTTGAGAGAGATGGCCTGACCTGACAAAGTGGGAGGCTGGACAGGTCCCAGCACTCCTCTGTGCCTCCTGCCCTAATGGGGCCCTAGTCCTGCCACCCCTGCCCCCATCTTGCTCCACATGGAGCCCCAGCTCAGCTCCTGCTCGGTCAACAGAGCCCCCAAGAAGAGGCTCTGTCCACCCCACCCAGGCCACTCTCTGAGTGTAAATGGATGGACTCAAGTTGTATTTGCCCCAGGAAGCATTTTA